TCAGCTCTCGACTGCACTGCCTGCCCTTGACCACATGGCCCTTTGCTGTATCCTTAGCCTCCCCTCCTACCGTGAGGGAACGCTGCTTTGGACTGTTTTATTGCCAATACATTTTTACTTGGTATGATGAAATGAAGCAAGGGACTGGTTTCATTAGAAGGAGAGGTAAACAGAACATTAATTAAATTTGCTGATGATACTAAATTGGGAGGAACTGTGGACATCTGTGAGGACAAAAGAATCATACAAATGGACTTAAGGAGTTTAGAAATACGAGCAGGAAATAATAAAATGAGATTCAGTCTTAAATAATGCAGGCTAATACATTTGGGAGAAGATAATCAGAAACATGGCTGTTCAGTGCATGGTCGAGGCCTGGAAAGTGGCAATGGGGAAAGAGACCTAGGGGGTGATAATAGGAAAAATTATGCACAAACTTACAGGGAAGTAGTCACTATGCCTGGGGGTACACATATAAAAAGGCAGAGCGCTCTTCTTAGGACACCAGTATGTTCGCAAGCAACAAAGAGCAAATTTGCTTTAGTTGTCGAATCATTCAGGTCTGTGGGACAATTTAACACCCTTCTGTGGGAATATTGCTCTCCTCTATTAAAGATGACAAAGTTTGTTTTGTCTAAGACCTATGTTAGAAATCAGAGTCACTGTTCAATTTCTGTCATTTTCTACTACGAACTATTACTAATATATCAGTCCATATATTGATGGTTGATGACATTGTAAACACAACCTCACTGCTCTCGCTTTATAGCTTCCTGTCTCTGGTTCGTATGATTGCACATAGTGTTCAGAAGCATTGTGTTTCCTAAAAGTCAGCGTCTCTTTAAGTCATGTGATATGATTCTCTAAGGATGGATGTGAGGCAGGGGTTTTGGATAATATCTACCTCTTTATCCACTTAATCACCCACTATGAATTGAGTCCCTGTCTCCCGCTGACTATGGGATTCTAGGTAGAGTAAAGATGGCTGCAAAGCCAACATGATGGCTGTGATGCTCTAGATGGAAAAACGCAATGAAAGCAGCGATTGCAATCTCAGCACTTGGGGATATGTTAGGAAAAGTGGAGTTGTTGTTAGCATGCAGAAGGAAAGCCCCTCTGGTATATTCAGGGGGCCACATAGGAGGTTGGGGATAAGTGAGAGCATTTTCGTTTGGAGAAGGTGATGATTCTGCTGTTTGGCAAGAGAATCAAGACAAACGTGGCAAGTGGACTGACTGTTCGTGGCAGGTTTTCTAGGGGAAGGAACCAGCATATGGGATAAATAGAGGTCTCTAGAAGCAAGGGTTTTGCTGAACTTCCTAGAACACACAAAGCAGTTCATAAAGATTTGGAGATGGACAACAGGCAGGGATCACTTGATTATTATTGTTGTTGTTGTTGTTGTTATTCACTGGTTTTGCAGGTAGCTCAGAAGTTAATTCACTCCAAACTTTCAAAAATTCAAAATGGAATTAGAAAAGAACAAAGCTTAATTATACATCACAATTCCAAATTTAATGACATAGGTGCTTTCATAGTTTTATAGTTTTTTTTTTTTAATAGCAGTTTAAATTTGTCCTGGATGAAGTACACATGAAAAAAAAAAAAACAAAATTCATCTCAGAATTTTGGTTATTGACATCCTCCCTTCATTAGCTTCACATTTATATTTCTGTATTCAGCGTGGTTTTCTTTTTTATAAAAAGATTTATTTATCTTTATTTTATGTGTATATGTGTATGACTACAAATACATGTGTACTACATGTGTGCAGGTGCCCTTGGCGTCAAGAAGACTTGAAGTCTCTGGAACTGGAGGTGCAGGTGGATATGAGCTGCCTGATGTGGGTACTGGGAAGTGAACCTGGGTCCTTGGTGAGAACAGCAAACTCTTTTAATTTCTGAGCCTTTCCCTGGCCCCTGATGATGTATTGATTATATCATATGACAGTCTCTTATAACTCAAAATTTTTTATTAAGTAAAAATTTCCTGAGAGGTGTTTGGAAAACAAACACTAAATCACAGGGAGGTTAACTAACACAGAACAGCAGTCACATTGCATTCCAACTTCAAGTAAGAGAAAAAGATAGAGAACTCAGCTTCCTATGAGGTTATAGAAATTGAGCCCGTGACTGCCCATCATCAGGCATGCCAATTGTAAGTCATTCAATTATCTGATTAAAAACAGTAGGTTAGTGGTGATGAAGCAGTGCCTGATGGGACATTACTTCCTCTAATGAAAACGGATAAGGAATGGATAGTTCAGTGGTTGCTTGACTGTTCGCTTAAACAGAGTATCTCCAAATTGAGGAATATAAAATCTTTTGGTCAACCTCATTTCAACTGCCTAACATAGCTGGGTCCTGATGGAAAGATGGCACCCCACTGAACGATGCAACACATTCCGTAAGTGGTCGCACTTAAATCTTTAACAACCAAGCTGCAAATCACATAATCCCCTTCCATAAAATGGAGCTGCCTTCGCTCAGCAACTGTTGACTACAAGTTGCTTTTTATTTTGAGCGCCAAAGCAAAGATGAGTTCAGTTGGCCCAGACCATTTCCTGGGAGCCCTTCCTCCTTAGGCACTGTAAGAGAAGTCAATGCACTTGGCGAAGGAACACGCAGGGAACTGAAGTGAGTATGTAAATACTTTTCTACGGTATGTTGTGCTATTACCCTAACAATCAGGCCTCCAAGATTAGTTCTTCTTAAAACGAGCATGTTTTTTTTGACTACGGGTCTACAGTCTTTAGTAACCAACCTCAAGAGCTCTCCCAACATTATCATTTAAAGAGCTATTTTGGTTCCGTGTAGTTTGTTTTTCTTTTCAAAGTGCCTTGCCCTTGATTTTTTTTTTCCCTGCTTGATTGTTTTTCTTTTTCTGAACTGAAAATAGGAAGTGGTCTGAAGAGTATAAAATTAGGCAAAAAGATTAAGCTAGAAAAGAAAGGATTATTTTTAACTCAAGAAAAAAAATATTACTAGCTCCATAGACTGTTAAACTATAAAATAACTTTCCAAGGAGTTTAAAGGCATCAAGGAATCATGGGGACATTAATCTTTCAAGGAGACAGGAAAATTATGACAAAGTACGGTGCTAAAGAAACGTATACGATGCTCTCAGTGCGACAGTGTACCCAGAGTGAGTATTTGGCTTGCTGTTTGTACGTAGATTGATATTTATGCTGGGCATTCTTCATTTGCAAATAGAAAAGGGGGAATTGGAAAGACCATCTTTTCCTACTAACTTTAAAGGGAGAATTAGTCACCAGGGTACTCAAAAGAATATGAATTTTGGTTCACTCACTGCTTGTGAAACCAACCTAAGACTTCTTCATGTGTTAAGCCCAAGGACTGTTTATCTAAATAGAATTTATATGTTCTTGTTTTATCAGAAACAAAAGTGTTTTGCCCAAAGCATAGTAGCATTGTTGTGGAAATTTTCATATTTTTGTAAATCAGTCAGTTTTCATTATATAACAGGAATTGCAAATAAAAACTATAGGGTTATTTTGTTTTGATTCCCAGGGCAACAAATATCTGAAAAATCTTTAGCTGCCTTAAATTATTTTTTATTTTGTCCTGATTATTGAAAACCTGAAAGCTTTCCAAACAAATATAATTTCTTTTTCAAATTTTGTAAACATTTGTTTCCAGGCGAAAACAGCCTGCCAGCTCTCAGCTCGATTATTTTTAATGGTTGCACTATGAACTTCTGAGTCTAGGTCCTTATAATAGAAACTCACAGACCAAGGATTGACTTTATAAAATGATGCCACTTATAGGACATCTTAGAGTACTGGATCTTGATATGCTGAATCTATTTAAGCCCTCTATCCATAATAAAAGGCTAATTGTGCAGGGTCTTAAGTTTGGCTTAAAACCAAGTGACTCCAGTGGAAAATATTTTAAAATCCTAAATTCCAGAATGGGGATTAAGAGTGGTGGTAAATGTTGGAAATTAGACCCAGGCTTTATCTGACACTGTTCCTCTGCAGTCTGGATCCAAAAGTGTGGGAACATCCACAGTTGGTGCGATGCGAGCTGGCCACACAGCTGTGTTCCCTAGCTAGCTTCACCGGTGAGTGACCGGCACATCAACTCCCAAGCCAACTTCTGTTATGCTCAAGGTCTTTTTGATAACAAGACTGTCATATGTGCTTCTAAGTAGAGATAAACTTAATTAAATGCCATTAATAAGCACAGCAAATTAATTAATAACAGCTTTGTGTGCAGATTTTTTTTTTTTTTGATGATTTAAAGCATACTTTTTACTGCCAGATTTAACTTGCCATCATTTTGCAAGAACAAATGTCTTCGGGACAGAAAAGCAAGTTTTGGGTAATTGCTAGAAATGACCCAATCCTGTGCTGCCCCCTTACAGAACTCCCAGGCCTACTCATTCACCAACATTCGCTTTCTTCCTTGTGAAACCTACTTCCCACCCCCAACTCTCCACCTTGCCATCTCTGATTTCTTTCGGGTTGTCTTTTCTGGTTTCTCTTTTCTGCTTTTGCAGGCCATTTCCTGTTTACTTTGTTGGAAATTGTCTTCTCTCCTAGCCCTCAATGCGGCTTTCGAACAGACACAGAGGCCCCAGCGTGACTACCCCAAAGAGCCCGCTCCAACTTGGCTCTAGCACAGCAGGACCGCTGTCAGGAAGGTGGCATTAAAACAGCAAAACAAAACACCAAGAGAACAAAAAAGAAATTACAAAATAAAGAGAGAGAGAGAGAGAGAGAGAGAGAGAGAGAGAGAGAGAGAGAGAGAGAGAGAGATAAATGGGCATTGGGGCTCTTGTTTGTTGGAAATTGTCTTCTCTCCTAGCCCTCAATGCGGCTTTCGAACAGACACAGAGGCCCCAGCGTGACTACCCCAAAGAGCCCGCTCCAACTTGGCTCTAGCACAGCAGGACCGCTGTCAGGAAGGTGGCATTAAAACAGCAAAACAAAACACCAAGAGAACAAAAAAGAAATTACAAAATAAAAAAAAAAAAGAGAGAGAGAGAGAGAGAGAGAGAGAGACTGGTCTTAATTTTAACTCAGAAAGAAAAACTAAGTTAATTTGCAGCCTGCTCTCAAGAGCTTCATTGAGGATCGTCGGCGCTCAGAGGGCATGTGGACATCCAGCTCTTGACATAAAAGTAAGAAAAAACCCAAAACAAACACCAACATAGCTCGCTCCCTTAGGAACATTTTTTTTGTCAAGTCCACAAATATTCTCCAGAGAAAAAGAAAAACTGCTTATCTTGTACTCTAGATTTTTGCTCTAAGCATGTAATTTTTATCAGTTTGTTTTGTTTTTATTACTTTTTTTTTTCACTTACTGCTTATAAAACTAGGAAGCAGAAGTCTCTCTGGAAGACGATAGAATCATAAAAGTTTTCAAGACTCTCATCAGAAACTAAACAGTACAAATTGCACATTCTTCGTAGACGGATCAGTCTTTAGTGCGTGCCTGGATCCAGCTCTCAAAGATTATCTCAAAGTGGAAAAGAATGAACAGTATAAAGTTTGCAGGGCTGGGAGCAGACTTGTCTAGTTGTGGCAATACAATCTGCACTTTAGGGGCCTAGATTTCAAGCAATGGGAAATAGCAATGTGAAGTTTTATTTTCATACCCAAAGTCCTCAGCGGGATCTCAACGGACTGAAGGGTTCACTGAATGACGTTAGCGAATATTAACGAGGATAAGCTTCATGTAGCTCAGCAGAAAACCTAGACGCTCATCATTCCCGCCACTTTCCCAGTAATTTCTTGTACATACATTCTCTACCTACTGTTCACAGCAATCTGTTTATAGCAAATAGTCATATATCTATTTTTATTCTGTACTGTGAAGTTTCTGAAATCACAGACGTGTACTCAGAGTTCTCACGCTATGACGGTACTAGCAAGTATGACCGTATAAAAATTCATGTAGCTAAGGTGTCTGTCTGTCTCTCAAATTTCACATAATCACAAGGGATTAAAAAAAAAAGTTAAGGTATAATAATAATTTTAGACATTATTTTTTTCAACTTGCTACAATCTATCCTAAGATAACTAATTGTTCAAAGTAAACATTCCGCTCAGACCACAAAAGGAATCCATTATACAAACATATAATTCACAGTCATTTTTAGTGGGTTGTAAACAGTTTGGAATGAGTATAAAATGGGACAAAAATCAAAGTGAGCATTTTGAAATGAAAAAGTGTTTGCTACAAAAGGTCAGTCCCTTTGCTTGGCAAACTATGTAGAAAAGCCTGGGAAAATGCTGATCACACAAGCAATGAGGGGATTTTGAAGCCAACAGCCTCCTTGTTTCTTTAAACAGACATCGGAACCTATAACTGGATCCTGTCAAACAAACGACAGCAAAAAAATATAACAGCTGCCACGAAGTCAAATTGAGAGATAAAGCTTTGGAGGCTAAGGACCTTCTCAGAAGTGGACTAAAGGGCTTGCTGAAATCTTTAAGCAATGTTACGGATCCCAGGGTATCTTCTGGGCACTAAGTCAAGTATGTAACTTGTGTTTCATTCCTGTCATAGCTTTATGTGTTTGAGAGAAGGACACTCACACACACACACACACACACACACACACACACACACAGGGCAAACTTCTTGTTGGTCAGCAATTGCTGAAGCATTCTGAAAGCTATCTTGTATCTCAAATCATTAAGGGTAGAAAACATGGGAATACACACACACACACACACACCACTCTCACCCCCCCCACACACTCACGCACAGTAGGGCTGGCAAGATGGCTCATAGGGTAAGTAAGTGTATGCCACCAAACCAGACCATTTGCGTTTGATCCTTGGGAACCACGTGATGGAAGGAGAGAACCAACTCCTACAAGTTGTCTTCTCATTTCCACACTCATGTTGTGGTGTGTACATTCAGAAACACACAGACACAAACACACACTGAATAAAAAAATTAAAATTGTGGTTAAAAAGCGTATAATGTAAAATAATTATTTTAAGTACATATTTTAATAGTGTCAAGTATATTCAGGTTGTTGAGTTCCAGATCTCTTGGTAGCCTCTTCTGGGGCCCAGGAGCAGAACTGGCAATCATAGAGCAGCAATCACAGCATGTTATGGATACTGAATGCCAACAGCATTTCTATTAATTTTAAAATTCAGTTGTATTTCCTTACATTAAAAAATTGTACTTGATGTACAAAACATATTTAGTGTATAATTGTGTTCATTAATTTAGTAAACTCTATCTCTCTAGAAAAGAAGTCTCTGGCAAGGTCTACGTTTGACTTTTCATGTAAAACATGTCTTTCCAGGTATCACATATGGCTGACATATTTTACTATTACCACACAAGGGGTCAAGATAGAAGCTTTGTGAATAAAACCAAATTAAAATTCTCCTGATCCTATGTGGAGGGCAAAACAAACAAGCAAGTGTTTACGGTTTAGGATTTGATCAATTACTTTAAAGACACACATCTTTGTTTGCGTTTCAGATTTTGTAATGGCTTTCCTATCTTCTTTACCTGCTCTTTCCTCTCAAAGCTCTTATCTCAGCATGTGCTTAATCTTTAGTATCTATTTCTTCTATGAGTTTAGTTCATAACGTGAAGTACAATGCACATCTAGTGACTGCTCCCTCATTCAACATCCAAGGTGTCTTTCAGGAAAAAATTCAAGTTGAGACATTCATTGCTCAATTTGAGTACCCCACAGAGAGTCTTCAACTATGAGAGTAAGGCAGAGAGAAGGAGCTGCAAATATAAAATCAATGTGGTTCTTTGTAAGAAAGTATACTTAGGGCTGCACAAACAGCAAAAAAAAAAAAAAAAAAAAAAAAAAAGGCAGAAGTGACTATAGTCTAAATAGCGGGGGAGGACAATATGGCCTAGCAGTCAAGAGGATAGTGAATCAAATTGAGACAAGGGAATGTACCAGGTAAGTCACTTGGTTTACAGGCTTACTTAGCCATTTTTCCATGTTACGTACAAAAGGTGCCAAAAATGTAATGTAACTAATACCACTTTACTGAAGGTGAATGAAGAATATGCTTCGTGCTAGTCACCAGACAGAACTTCCTCGGAGACCCCAGAAACCAAGCACGGTTCTGTCAGCCTCAAGCAGTCAGCAACCGGAGAGGATGGCTGAATCAATGCTGAGTTTGTCTGCCCTACCATGCTTCATTTTATAATAAATATATAATAAGCATTTCAAAAATACTGCTTGAGTTTTATAGGTGCCTTGAAAAAAAAAAAAAGAAAACAATAACGGAGGGAAAATGAGGAAGGAGTCAAATCCTTTCTATAAGAGCCAGTGTGCCCATATTATGAACCCAGAGGCCATTTCCCCAAGACTGGGAGAGTGAACGCAGCATGCAGCTTGCATTAAATGGGCCTTTCCTAGAATGGACCCATAAGCATTTCCCAGGACCGCGCAGTTGAGTTTCTTGGCTGGAGGAGCATCTGGCCATTAGAAGGAGCACTCCAGATATGCTGAGTCCCAGCCATGCCGAGAGACTTGGCACCTTCCCCTGCTACTTTCTAGTACCAACCCTGCATCAAATGTCATCAGAAGCCTGCATAAATATTGGACTTAGATTCACATAAATTATTTCTGTCCTGAGGTGCAATATGCCAAAATTTAGTAAAAACAACACTTGGAGTAAACAGCATTGGCGTGTAATTGTAAGAATATTAATCCAATGAGTTCAGTGATCATGGAAAAATATAATAGAAAGTACACACTTGTAAATCTTGCAAGGATGTGAGACGTTTGCCTTGTGTCTTTGAGTTTTTATTGAACATTTCCATGGAGTTCCTTTAAGCTTACACTGCCAAAGTGCTTTGAATTTTCAGTGGCTTTGCAGAATTACAAAATCTCTTTGCGTTTCATTAGGATGCTCGGGAATTATTTTAATAATCGTATGTGTGATTAGCAGCTGTTTAGCGCTGGATCTACAAATTCATTTTGAGAGTAAACATTGGGACAATAAAATATAATGCTGTCATGATTGTTCCTGTCAGCAGAAACACCATCCTACCTTATTAAAAATCACCATAAAAATGCCATGCATAGATACAATCCCTGTTTATAGACAGTTTCTATTCTGTGATAGTATGGTATCTGTACCCTGCAAGGCTACACCAGGCAGGGCTTTTCATTTTGCCTTAGGTAGACACACAAATCGAGAGATAAATAAGCTATTGTTTCCATGTGCATACATCTTACTATGTTTGACTTTCCCCAATGGCCTATTTGAATTTTGTTTTTGATATAACATAATAATGCTCATGCCATTGGTACTCAGTATTTAAAGGTGAATGAAGATTTCTTGGAATAGATGATAATTTAACTATTGGAAATAATGACAACCTTCTCAGCTGCTCGTTTTATGTTTATTCCTGAGATAGGTACCTATAAATGAAATGAAATGGCAACAGGCACTAAAAAGACATTTCCCTCTTAATTCCAATCAGCTTCATTCTGCGCAGGCACTTCTCTCGGTGCTTATTCTACAGTAACTGTTTCCTGTTCTCTTCACTCTCAACTCTTCTCCCTGAAGTGCCAAGGCACCTTTCCCCACAGCCACGGTCTTTATCTGTGTCCCTACCCAACCCTTCCCCTCTTGTTATTCTCTCATTCCCTACTGATAGGGGAATAATAGGATCCCAAGGCTGTCCTTACAGTATAATTAAAGTATGAATTTCTAGGAGCTAGAAATTGCATGCCGTTTTTATTATGCTTCTATAATAAAGCCAGGTAACACCGAGAGAATTAAAATGGCCTTTTTCTGAGCAGAGGATTTGAAGCTCTTTTTCCCTTTGGTTGTATTGTTTCAGGAGAATAGGTGTTGAAAATGGAAATAGGGTCAGCCATTGCTTTTCTCTGCAAACACCTCTATGTTTCGCATGATATATATTCCCCTAGATCCTGGAAATATGTTGTAAACTTGTAACAGATGGTGATGAAGCTTCACATTTTTATTTAATACATTTTTTTTTAAGATTCTGCATTTACAGTGTGTGTCTTCCAGGAAAAATGACCTTGAATGAATGAAGTCGTAGTTCGAAGGAAAAACACTCCACAGATACACTAGCATAGAAATGATGAGTCAATTGGGGTTTGTTTTGTTCCCTTCCGTGAGATGAAATAATTTCAGATGAAAAACAGAATGTTGAAACAGAGGAGTCAAAGGTCATCTTAACACTGGAGGTGTATCTGCTAATTGTTCCAGGAAACCCAGTTAGCTGTAATCTGCACTGAGCAGAACCATGTGGAAGACGGCGCATCGGTATCTGCGGGTGGAAACGCTGTTTACTTCACTTGGGTAATGCTGGGGGTTTACCAAAATGGTTCTGGCACGTCTACCAGCATGAATGTCAGAGGGTTCTAACACCGAGACTGCTGATATTTCATGAATGTTTTATCACTGGCTTGGAAACAAGAAGTTTGCAATTGATTCAACAGTATGTCAGACAGACAAAATATTAAAAAAAAAAAGAACATTGGTGAGAATTGCTAATGTCCCTATTGTAAAAAACAAACCAAAGTTAATAAGAAACTTGATCCTCTTAGCCGGTTAACAAAAGTCAAGTTTTAATTACCTGGCTTCCTGGAGAAATCAGGTGGCACCATGAACTCAAGCAGTAGCTGTTCAGAGTACACAGCAAGGCTGCCTAGTTAGTTACCCACCTCGTTTTTCAACAGCTTCAATGCACTGCTTCACAAACCATGGAACTGTGGAATGTTCCCGTTCACACACTGTGTGCAGATGAGAGCCAAAAGTTTGATCTGCAAACGAAACAAAGATGAGTTTCATTAAAATCCAAGCCCGCGTTGTTCTTTAATTTGGTTCTGCTTCCATAGCCAACACTGCGTTCTTCATCTCGCATAGGAATTGACTTCTGCTTCAATTCCCAAGTGTCTCCGGCAGACGTATAAGGACTGCGTGTCCCTTTACGGAACAGCACCCCGATCTCAGTGTAAGAAAACTAGCGTGGTCATGGATTAGGCGTGGAAGAAGAGTGTCTAAGTGTGTTTGAAATCCTGCATGTTCTGGAAGTTTGTCAGCAGTTATCAAACATATAGTTTGGTCATTATATTTAAGGGATTCATCCTGCAGAGTTATTTGAGGAGGCAGGTAGAAGCAGAGGAAGCACTGAAAAGCCAACCTATTAGTATTTCTCCTGTCTTGAATGCTCACCCTCTTGTCTGATTTAAGTATCACCTTTGCGACAAGCCTCTGCTCAGAGCTTCCCTAAGCCAGCCTGGCCTCTCCATTGAAATAGCCTCCCTGGACAGCAATTCCTCGGGTTGTTCAACAGATGCTGTAGACAACAGGGCTTATTCTCAAAACGGCTCAGCAACATCAAGTTAAACCAAGTTAAACAGAGTGTAAGATAAGCATTAAAAGTGCTTTGATTTGCTAGAGCCCTGGCATATGTGAGTTTCTATAAGAGGGTGGAAGGGATAAAATCCCTCGTACTTGATTTGTTAATATCCCTTTGTTTCAGAGGGCATCTGACTAACGAAAGCTACTGAAAGTGGGGTGAGACCACAGCCCTTCCCTCTTATTTAGGATAAGACAGATGCTTCTCCAACAGCATTTCTGCATTTGTGATTAATGGAACTGTGAGTTGGACTTCAACTTGGTTCTGGAGGTTCCTTTATCAAAAGCGCCATTCGACAGCCAGGGGTACTACTGGGAGGTGATTGGATCAGAGTCCTCTTGATCCAATTACTAAATACATAATTGGATGGAGTCACTGGAAGGTTGCGGCAGCTAGACACTTGTTGGAGGAAGTACGTCATGAGGGCATGCTTTTGGAAGGTACATCTCTTCCCTGGTTCCTGTCTGTTTCAATTTTTACCCCCTTAGTCTTATGCACTGAGCCATCGGTTTTGTGATACGTGGCGTCACTGCAATGCTACACATTTCCCTAGCCACAATGCACTGTCAGCCCAAAGCAATGGATCCTTTTGACTCTGCACTGGACCCAGAAGCTAAAAGAACCTTTTCCTTCCATAACCGACTTTCTCAGGTACTGTGTTCCAACAGCAAGGAAAGTGACTAATACAGAACCATCTCTCTATTTCCAGAACCCAAGTGTCTGAATCATCCGTTATTTTGTAGTTGCCAGGGCTTCGTACTGCAGTAGATACTCATAGACTGTATTTTTAAAAATAATCATAAAATATGCACCATGTACCAAGTGTGCACAGACTTGAGGGGCATTAAGTCCATCCCGAGTATTGTGTAACCATTACATTACTCACTTCAAGATCTCATTTCAGTAGCAATGATATGCAATACTAACACCCAGACTAGTACGTGAAGAGTCCAAGGGTGTCCATTTGGATCAGAATGAGGCCTGATCCCCCTGTGACTTCTCATGCTATCCCTGATTTGTCCTCCACTAACTGTTTTCCTTTTAGCTTTCTCAGTATCCATGGAAACTAGTCTTGTTTTCTGAGTGTCTGTTTCTAATCCCTTACAAATACTTTGTCCCTGGGGTTGTGTTCTCATTATCCCCTCTGGGTGGAACTTTCTTGCTCCAGTCTTTGATCAAATGCTATCTTCTAGCTGTAGTCTTTTCCAGCCACCTCTCAAAGACAGAGCCACTCGATTCCATTTTATACGCCGGTATCTCTTCTTTGTTTGGGGATGGGGCTTACCTCCCCTTGAGATGTTGGACCCATGTTGACTGTATAGGTTATTGAACTTGCTAAGAATTGAAATTCAGAAGGGTCAGGGTAAAACATTTACTATGGATCTTCTCTTAGAAGCAGGCAATGTTTGGCACATAATGGAAATTTATTAAGCATGTTTTGAATTGGCAGTGGGGATTTTTGTAGAAATGTGGAGAAAAGATATAATAGTGCATAGCAGAATCCTAAGTGCCAAAGTATTTTGATGATGAAGACACTGAGATTTCAGGGGAGCTGGGTTTTCATCTGTTACTTAGGAAAATGTATTCCCATGTGCTGGTAACAACAACATAGAGGATATCAAGTAAGGCTGATGCACTATTAATAACACACCCTGATGTGGAAATATGTGTGTTGATACAAGAGACAGGAAGAAGATAAACTCAAAACGCAGAGAGTATAAAAATGGCAAACAATTGTATATGCTTTGAACAGTTGATGAAGTAGCAGAGATTTGTTCCAAACGGTGAGCATCCCTATAATAAAGAGTGACATGAATATTACCTAAGAAAAATTGGCTAGGGCTTCAGATTAAACATTTTAAGTTGGATAGAGTTCACAGTCAGGAACCATGACTGCTGCGTGTAAACCTGTTAGTAGGCTTCATTATTTCAGTCTGTTGCCCAAATCTTGATTGACTCTTTCTTCTCTCTGCACAACAATCACAGCAAAAACCATATAATTCTCCAAAAAAAAAAAAAAGAGTGGAAGTTTATGCTTAGTTTGAGTTCAGTGTATGGAGAGGTCTCAAATTAAGTTGTTTGTACCTTAACATTTATATTTGTTAGAGGAGGGGAAAAGGAGAGGCAGGAGGAGAACTTGAGGGAACAGGATAGATGAGATGGAGGAAAGAAAGACAGAGATGAGAGCAACAAAAGAGATATTTTGATTGAGGGAGCCATATGGGACAAGCATGAAACCTAACACTAGAGAAATTCCCATGAATCCACAAGGCTGACCCAAGCTAACACCCTAAGGAGTAGAGAAGAGGGTATCCGAACTGGTCTTGCCCTGTAGTCAGACTGATGAATATCTTAACAATCACCATAGAATGTTCATCCAGTAACTGATGAAAACAGAGGCAGAGACCCACATTGGAGCACTGAATTGAGCTCCCAAAGTCCAGTTGAAGAGTGGGAGGAGTAAATATATGAACAAAGAGGTCAAGACCATGATGGGGATACCCACTGAAACAGTTTTCCTGAGCTAATGGGAGCTCACCAACTCCAGCCACACAGACTAGTCCCTCTGAATGTGGGTGACAGTTGTATAACTGGGGAGACCAGATATATTAGATAGGGCCTTGGATCATCTCCAAAGCAATGGGCCTTACCCTCTCTGTGGAGCGTTGGATGGAGAAGGTAGGTCAAGGGAATAGGAGGAGGGGAGGGAGTGGGAACTGGGATTGGTATGTAAAATGAAAAGAGATGGTTTGTTTTCTTTTTTAAAAAGAAGACAAGAAAAGAAATTTTAAAAATTATATTTGTTATGCCTTACAAAATATTATGACATTTCTTATTCTGTGTTTTCAATTCTACCCAATTTAATTCAGAAATATCAGTGAACACCTAGCATATGCTGAGTAGTGTATTTATTTATTTATTTATTTATTTATTCATTCATTCATTCATTCATTCAGCAACTATTAAATGTCAGATAGAAGGCAGACCCAGACTGTTTATAGCTTAATGTATATTTTATATAGGACTTTTATGGTAGTTACAACAAAATGTAATTTATAATGTTATAGTGAGCATTCATGGTTATTTACTGTGTATTTACCCTAAGCCATGTCTGGTTCATACAGTAAATATCCTGCTACATTACTGAAGGTGTTTATGAATTGTAGAAGTTCCTTGGTAGAATTTTTGGGGTCACTTATATTAACTATCATATCATCATCAAATAGTGAGAGTTTGACTTCTTCTTTTCAAATTCGTATCCTCTTGATCTCCTTTTGTTATCTTATTGTTCTATCTAGAACCTCAGGTACTATATTGACTATATATGGGGAGAGTGGACAACCTTATCTTGTTCCTGATTTTAGTCGGATTGCTTTGAATTTCTCTCCATTTAGTTTGATGTTGGTTGTTGGCTTGCTGTATATTGCCTCTATTATGTTTAGGTATGTTCTTTGTATCTCTGCTCTCTCCAAGACCTTTATCATAAAGGGATGTTATGTTTTTTTTTTTTTTCAAAGACTTTTTCAGCATCTAATGAGATGATCATGTGGGTTATTTTTTCAGTTTGTTGATATGGTGGATTACAATGACAGATTTTCATATGTTGGACAATCCCTGGATCTCTGGGATGAAGTTTACTTAGTCATGGTGGGTTCTTGGATTCTATTTTGCCTGTATTTTATTGAGTATTTTTGCATCAATGTTCATGAGTGAGATTGGTCTGTAACTCTCTTTCTTAGTAATGTCTTTGTGTGGTTTGGATTTGTTCTTGGGTTGGTAGAATTAACATACTAAAAATGGCAATCTTACCAAAAGCAATCTATAGATTCAATGCAATGCCCAGCAAAATCCCAGCAAAATTCTTCACAGACCTTGAAAGAATAATACTTGACTTCATATGGAAAAACAAGAAACACAGAATAGCCAAAACAATCCTATACAATAAAGAATCTTCTGGAGACATCACAGTCCCTGACTTCAAACTCTACTACAGAGCTACATTACTGAAAACAGCTTGGTATTGACATAAAAACAGACAGGAGGACCAATGGAACTAAATCGAAGACCTGGATATCAGTACATACACCTATGAACACCTGGTTTTTGACAAAAGCAAAAAATATAAAATGGAAAAAATAAAGTATATTTAACAAATGATGCTGGCATAACTATATAGAAACACGAAGAAGAATGAAAATAGATTCATATCTATCACCATGCACAAAACTCAAGTCCAAAAGGATCAAAGACCTCAACATAAAACCAACCACACTGAACCTCAAAGAAGAGAAAGTAGGACATACACTTGAATGTATTTGCACAGGAGACCACTTACTAAATATAACCCCAGTAGCACAAGTACTGAGAGCAACAATTAATAAATGGGACCTCCTAAAACTGAGACACTTCAGTAAAGCAAAGGATATGATTAATAAGACAAAATGACAGCCTACAGAATGGGAAAAAGATCTTCACCAAACTCACACTGGACAGAGAGTTGATCTCCAAAATATACAAAGAACTTAAGAAATTTGTCATCAAAAGAACAAATAACTCTGAAGATAAATTACAGGCATTGGAACAGCTGGTGCAAGAGAAAAAAAAAACAACAAAAAAAAAAAAACAAAAAAAACCAAATAACTCAATAAAAATGGGATGCAGACCTAAAGAGAGAACTCTTAACAGATGACTCTAAAACAGCTGAAAGACACTTAAAGAAATGTTCAACATCCTTAGCCACCAGAGAAATGCAAATCAAAACAACCTTGAGATTCCATCTTATACCTGTAAGAATGGCCAAGATCAAAAACACTGATGACAGATTATCCTGGAGAATATGTGGGATAAAGAGAACACTCCTCCATTGCTGGTGGGAGTGTAAACTGGTACAGCCCTTTTGGATATCAGTATGGTGATTTCTCAGAAAGTTAGAAAACAACCTACCTCAAGCCCAGCAATACCACTTTTGGGTATATACCCATAGGATGCTCAGTCATACTACAAGGACATGTGCTCAACTATGTTCATAGTAGCATTATTTGTCATAGCCAGAAACTGGAAACAACCTAAATGCCTCTTGACTGAAGGTGGAGACACACACGAAAAGCTATCTTGGCATTTTGACAACTCACACGACATGGGTGATTGTGAAAAGAGTAGTCTTGGGAGAGTCATAACACCAAAATTAGATGGTTGTGGTCAAGTTTTGCTAAGAAGATAAGGAAGAGATGGATTAACTAGACAAAGGTATAGGACTTGATGTCTGACTTGGGATAGATAGGAGAGGAATCAACTACAGGGTGTTTTTGATGGTTGAGTCTGTGAGGAGGTGCACTACTGACTACCCTCAGCAGTATTGAGGGGGTGGAAGAAGTGTTCTATTGCTCTTCACTGAGAGATCCAGGAAAATGGGGATTTCATAGAAAATCTTTCTCCCGTTGCTGACAATGCTATAGGACAGAAGACAAAGCAAAACAATCTAAATGTTTTAAATTTCTCTGAAGTGTCGAGTTCAGTAATTACTAGCACAAGTAATATTTTTCATATTGCTGTAGATTTACTGTCTTTACTCAAGAAAATATGGCTCTGGAGCACAGGATTGCAGCCCCTACATGAGCCAGCAAGGTCCATGGCTGCCTTACAGATCAAATGAGGCCTCACTTAAGAAATTTAAAATCCAGATGCAGAGAGATTGGGGACAGAGTTGTTTATACAGATTTGAACTGTGAGACTGCTTAGATTTAGACACTGAGGACAGCACAGCCTCTTCTGAGTTGGCTGTGTGGGATGAATGGGTGAACAAAACAACTCTACTTTGAAGAAATTGGTAAAGGGACCAGATGCAAGTAAGTTCTTTGCAAAAGCCACCAGCCCCAGCAACTAGGCCCATTCCATGGCGCTCAGACTTCCCCAGTCCTAAATTACAAAGGCTTCCTGCCACCCTTTCTTGATGGCATTCCTTAAGATGTTTCCTGTGTGTTACTATTATAAATATAACTGCAGCCTGGACATAAAGCTTCCCGTGAGACTGCAAGTAAAAAGGTACAATTACAATATGAAAGGCCAAGACGGACAAAATAACTCAGGATCCACCCTTCCAGAGGGTATTGCTCAGAAAACATTGTATCCATCAATTCTCTCTGGAAAGACACACAGGGGAATTAGGGCCAAAGTGAAGAAAAGTCCTGAACCAGGAATCTGAAAGGATACATTTTGTGCCCCTGTGTCCCTTCACACCCCACACAACCCATATCCCTGAACTGGTCAGTTAAGTAACCAGAAAAACTTCATTCTTACATATGTGGGTCATAAGACTTTCTATGAATTGCAAATAAAAAAAAACTATCAAGCAAGACATTCAGCTTCAACATAAATAATGAATACTCATCTCAGAGGGTTGATGAAACAACTGTGCAAAGTGAAAAATCTTATCAAAGAAAGGATATCTTAGAGATTGATTTTTAAAAGATATCGTGTTTAAGAATGGATTTAGAATGTCTCCCATCTGCAGATTTGATCAAGTCTAGAGTTTCACATACCAAAGAGGACCTTTACGTTACAGGAAAGCATTTGACTTTCCGTCTTAAAATAGCGTAGACAAGGGGGAGGGAAAGAGGAGAAATTTTGTTTCCTTGGCAGGCTTACATGACCAGCTTTGCCCCTAACCTCCATGGTTGTTGCCTGGCACACCATTAAGGATTATTTCTGCCTCCCTCCTCCTTATGGATATTCAAAAATGGGAGCCTTCCCAGCACCCCAAGTTCCTAACTCCCCACCTACATTCCCATCTGTGGGCTCACTGCTAATCTTTTCTTCCTGTCTTAACAACTTTTGTTTTGTATTTAGATAAGGCCTCTTGCCTGAGGTGTCAATATTTTTGGAATCCTCTGCAAGCGTCCCCGGCCTTGGCAAGTGTGACCATTCTATCCCCACCCGACTGCTGCAGCATTTATACCAAGGGTGGCAGGCAACACATTGTTTGGAGAAAATCCATTTTCTGTGATATTTCATTGAAAGCATCTTTTGGTGAGAAAAATAAATAGACCTTCCACAAGACTTTATTTAGAAATCATGATGTTTACATAATGAAGGAGCATTTAACTAGAGAATGGGGGGTTTTAATCTTTCACCTCTCAAACCTGTGACCAATTGAGTTGGTCAGCAGAGCCAGGTTAAGTCCTCCCAGACTCCAAATTGGCTCCATTCTCTCTCTCCTTACCGGCCGTAGATTTCTCTTTTTGAAAAATTATGGAAAGAACACCCAGTAATGGGATCTTTGTCAGTTAGACTCCAAATTAATCAAAACTATGAGGCGAACTACTCAATACATGCAGTTAAATGCTCAAATAATGTGGCAGCGTTATCATTATTTACCTAGAAGACCATGTCTACATATTTTCAAAATGATGTTCTGTTTTCAGGAGGGCAAGCCACCACAGCACAGAGGATGGCACATCGAGAGGAACAGAGGGAGACAGAAAGTGGTAACGGCAAGCCAGGCTGCCCAGCTCAGAAGCAACGCAGGCAATGACCCTGAACATGAGGCGTCTTTATAGAGGCAATCAGCTGCCAGCAATTGAGAAACATACAACACTGTGGTTTGTATTTAAAAAAAAAATACATATTTATCTAAAAGATTGAGGTGTAGAGATGGATGGAACACGCTGAATATAGTCTCGGGGCTAGAGTTGGAGATACTCTGAGGTCCCAATGCTCAAGAGATCATGAAACATGAAACTAGAGAAATACCATGTTTATACATCAGCCCCAACACTAATCTGAGCATAGAGGCTTCAAATTATTAATTATATTAGTTTCAATAAAGGATGCTTCGGTGACTAAGATCATGCAATAAAATACATACAAGGAAGTAAAGCATGCAGCCCTCTTTGCTTTCATAGATCACATTTCCTCTGAATTTTTCTGACACCAAAATGTCACATACAGGCAGATAATTCTCAGTATGCTATTATAAGGGAAAGGCAGGGGATAATGGGAGGTACAAATAATGCTTTTATTATGTAACTTCAGTAGTTTGCATTTTTATTTTTAAGTTCCTTCACTTTGAGATTAAAGTATTATTGCCACATCACTCCTTTCCCTTTTATCCCTCCACATCTCCCCATGTACCTCTCCTTGTTATTTTTTAAAGCCAGGGGCTCCTTTTAAATTAATTGTTATTACATGCGTAGATGTATATGTATATACCTATATTTTCCTAAATTTAACTTACTAAGTCTCTATAATGTTCCTTGTATGTATGTTTTTAGGACTATTAGTTACTGGATAACTGATTGGGGCGCTCTTCCCTGGAGAAAACTGTTGCCTATCGTTCTTCAAGTACTGTTGAGGCCTTGTGGATTTTACCCAGTGCACTTGCGCATGTCTCTTGGTGACTTCATCGTTCAACTCATGCTTAGGAAATCATTGTACATTTTAAAATCTGTCTTTCAGCTCAATTCTTACAACTGTCTTGTGTTCTTCTCCTCAAGCATAATATGAAATGTTAACACAGCACCCAGAACTTTCTCTGAACTCTACTGAGACTGCATGAAGACTTGGCGATTTGAGCGAACACTTGAGTGGAGCCTATGTCTGCATGGACTGCAGACGTCTCTCTAGTGTTGAAGGGTGGTTGTGTTCTCATATGTCTCCTCAGTGCTTCAGAAAGTGCTTACATCTCTTGTGAATCTCCACAGCTTTGATTAAAAGTATAAGCTACTGCCTTTGGGTGTGCAGATATAAAACATTGAGCTGATTTTTTGCTGAGCCTGTAACAGGCAGTAAATCTTTTATGACCTTACGACTTTTTGACATGAGGCAAATACGAGGAAAAAAAAAGAATGTTTTCAACTTGTAAGTATTTTAGATTGTAAGCACATAGGCGTTTCCAAAGGTTGTGTAATAACCTGCTTCCACTGCCTCATTCATGTTCTTTTTACTTCAGTAAACCTAAAAATTCTACAGTGTATGGTAGAGAGGAACAATATTCAACATGGGAAGATTGACCTGGATATTTGACTCGAAAATTCAAACATGTCTAGATTGAGAGTTTGCAGATTATGGGCAGCCGACTCTAGTGGTGGGTACCATTCTCTGACAAGAGCAGACCAAGGATGAGATTCGGTGAAAGCTAGCTGCCACTCAGATGGAACTGCTGTAGTCTTCCCTGTACTTTCTATACTTTTCTTCTCTCCTTTTCAGATTTCCAGCAGTGTCTACTTCCCTGAACACAGATTCATGGTGAGTGCCCTACCTTGTATGAGGCTCCTGTTCATTTAAGCTTGCATGGAATGAGATCCCAACTGTGCTTTTCTCTGGTGACATGAGCCCTTCCAAGAGAGATTTCAGCAGCCAGCAGGACATCTGTATCTTCAACCCTCCAAACCAATGTGACAGTAAGCATGGCATTCTGTGTTTGCTTTCTTTAGACAGAAACTTTGTCTTATACTTTTTCCTTTTGTTTGCATAAAATAATTCATCCTACACACACACACATACACACACACACACACACACACACGCACGCACACATATACACACACACACACCAGGAATCACAATAGCAGAGGGAGTGGTACACTTTTATGAAAAACTTTTTTCATGAAATATATCATTTTTATCCATTCAACGTATCCATTCAAGAGCTTTTTTTCAATGTCTCTAGGGTTGGAATGGTAAAAAGTTTCCATCACTACACAGCTTATGTACATAAGTGGAGAAAGGAAATACAAGCACATTAATACATAATATGAAGTCAGAAATAGATTGGCAAAGGCAGAGCTGATGGTATAGCCAGGGAAGACATCTCTACATCGATGCCATTTGAGGGGATCAAGCAACATAAACACACAGGGAAACAGAAAACACACAAAGCTGCTGGAGAAGGCTGTGGGATTAAAGGGTTGGGTGGGTGGAGTGGGGTGGCCAGGAAGCAGTGTGGTGCTGATGAAATTGAAAAGATAGCCTGCGGGCCAAAGCAGGTAGAAACACACGGGTCATAGGAGGACACTATACCTTTAAATATGGTTCTATGCTAAGGCTCTGGAGATTCCTGGGGGTGGAGGCATGGCATGGTATGATTTCCATCTCTAAATGATCCTTTGGAGCAGTTGGCGTGTAGCTCCTAAATTTAAGAGGGTCAAGCCGAGAAGTAGAGAGGCCAGGCAAGGGGCTGGGGAAATAGTCCCAAGAGAAAAGATGGTACTTGGATAAGAATGGTAATAACGGAAGTGACTAAAAGTGGTTTAATTTAGAATGTATTTTTAGGCAGGATTTGCTGATGGAAGTGAAAGAGACAAAGTTAGAGTCGAGGGTGACTCCAGCTGGCACATGGCTGTGGTATTTCCTGAAATAGAGAACACGTGGGAGCCAGGGAATCAAGGGTTGCTCCGGATAAATTTGAGATGTCTACCAAGCACCCAAGAAGATGTCAAATAGATGTTTGAATATGCAAGTCTGGAGTGTGAGGCTGACATTTTAAGTTTGGAGAATATCAACCTATAGATGGAATTAGAAGTCACAGGGATGGAATATTTCAGCCCCAGAATGTTTGAACAGTGTCCAAGAGTTGGAGAACAAGAAGAATAGAGAAAAGAAAGCCAAGAAACAGGGATCAGGAGAAGAGCAAGGGCCACCAAAGAGCTGTTCGCTGACCCAAGTTTTATCATGACCCAATAGGAACCTGTAAACAAACCATGACTCTAAGCCCAGAAATCCATGTCCAGCCTCATTCTTTCTTAGTCTTATTCCAGGCAATAACTTCCCATGATGGACAGAGATGAATAAGATGGTGTCTGAGTTCACAGCCCATCCATACTCTAAAAGGAGGATATTAAAACATGACATAATAGCTTTGGGAACAGAAGTGGGAATTAATGGAAGGGAGGAAAAAAAAAAGATAGTTTCAGCACTTTGGAGATTTTCAGCTGAAAGTGTAAAAGAGAATGAGAGTTTATTAAGTGAAAAAATAATATTCAAGGTAAAAGGGACTTTGCATACTAGGACAAGGTAAGTGCCACCTCCTCCTCCTGTTTATATATGCATGCATTACATGCATGCCTCCAGTCACCTAATCCATTCATTAGTGAATGGAAGATAAAACTGAGCAAGAGGATACATTTTATAAAAGTAAATGATTTACAGCTAAGGACAGTGACATTGACAATGGAGAAAAAAAATTATTTCAGTTCGTGAGATTTAGATATTTGTTGAGCAGAGAGTTCGTTCCTAGCAGAGGGAGTTGACAATGTTTTGTGCTTTTTATCCACCTGGCATCACCTCATTAGAAGCATAGGGAGGGTCAACAGAAGAAAGAAAATCGTTTATAAAATTGAAGTATATCAAATTTTGCTGGCTTCTCTAGTATTTGCTTACAATCACTTAGTATAGTTTCAATGGAAAACTGTTCACGGAATTCACCTACTCAATCACAAAACCAAAACTACCATCAAGTCTGATGGTCTTTAACTAAGGAAGGCCCACTTTATAGTGGGATGGACACTACTCGGGAAAAATATTTTTATTTTTGGTTTGACTTGCAACTAGGAGGAAAGAATCTGATGCAAAAAACTTAGGGCGGTTAAGTGAACTAATTCTAAATGACTCAATTTATCTTTTAAAGACAAGTAACAGAGACTAAAGATGAAACCATCATTCAATGATTAAGAACTGAAGGATTGTATTAGGGCAGGGAAAGCACAGAAAATTTAACTCCAGAATTAAGCAAAATCTAGGTACGGAGACCTTTTTCTCTAATATCAGCATAGATTCGCTAGAATCCCAAGTGGTAAAGACTTCAATTTATTTGCATGAATGCAGAGTTCAGTAAGAAAAGACTCAAATTCAGTGGGAGTAAAACTGCTTAATGATTTCAAATATTGCTTGTAATGTATTAATATAACAGGTTTGAATATCTATAATGGAGTCTCTTTCATTTGGTTCTTAAGGGTGTTCTTCAAGCCACTAATGCTGAGCGCTAGGTATGTGCTGAAGTACCTAAGAGGAAAAGCACTTTAGGTTAAAAGCACTTTCTCTCGCAGCCTCGGGTTAAAAGCTATTTCAGGATTCTGTTAAAGGCATTCTTTAGTCCTCCGCTTCAGCTTAGAAGTGGCTTTGATGAGAAGTGCTTTGAGGCAGGTAAAGGATTTTATAATAAACCATATTAAGAGCCCGGGAGTCGTGTGGTTCTGTGGAGCACTGGGGCGGGTGTGTAAGCTGTGCATACGGATTCCTGTTCTCTGTAGGTTATTCGAAGCAATGTGGCTCACTAGTTACTCTGTGTAAAGAAACAGAAAACCAGTTCCAGCAATGTCACTGGAGAGAAGGGATTATGAGCCCAAATTCGAAGGCCATGGTGCACGCATTTCTGAAAACAAGTTATCTTTTTGGGGTTTCCAGCCAAATACTGTCTGTTTCTTATTGTTTCGGCTCTTACTGCGGAAAGGGAAAATTGAAAGACATTTCTATTTTTATTAATTTATTTTTAATTTTTTTTTTTTTTTATTTTTTCGAGACAGGGTTTCTCTGTAGCTTTGGAGCCTGTCCTGGAACTACCTCTTGTAGACCAGGCTGGCCTTGATCTCACAGAGATCCGCCTGCCTCTGCCTCCCGAGTGCTGGGATTAAAGACATTCCTAAAACACCTTATTTTGCCCAAAATTTACCCACAAAATTGAATGACTGGGCATTCCATTGTGAGAGGCCATTTTGTACCTCACACGTTTTCTAGGTCAAGGCTGCTCTTCAGACCCAGTGATTACCCAGGCAACAGAACTTCTTATTGGGATATGAAGGGACTATAGAGATGGGATGGACACTTCAATTGGAAGTGTCTACTGAACACAGAACGACAGCAGAATGAAGTCTACCATCTTTTATGCTTTCCTGTACGTGTTGATATTAGCTCAAGAACTGAGGTCTATGAGAGTTCTAAGAAAGGACAAAAGGTGTGTACAACAGCTATAGCCTGGGGCTAGGAATGAATTTCTGTTAAGAAAAGAGTTTAGGCCGGGCGGTGGTGGCGCACGCCTTTAATCCCAGCACTTGGGGGGCAGAGGCAGGCGGATCTCTGTGAGTTCGAGACCAGCCTGGTCTACAAGAGCTAGTTCCAGGACAGGCTCCAAAACCACAGAGAAACCCTGTCTCGAAAAAGCAAAAAAAAAAAAAAAAAGAAAAGAGTTTAGACACAAAGAAATGGAGCAATTTCGCACCTTGTGAGATTCAAAGGCTCAGAGTGATGCTATAGGCCTTTGAAAACCATCTGCACATGGGGAAAAGCAAAGCGCCATCTTGTAGTCTCTGTTCTACCCAGGCTCAAAGGCGGGATTGAGCATGCGCAGGCACTGGGGCGTTTCTGCAATCTTAGTCGCCCTAGGCGGGGAAACCCATAACTCTCAAGGTTGCTGTTTGCCCAGTTGCTGTGATATTCTTTCTTAGGGCAGTCTATAGACAACAATGTCTAAAAGAGGAAGAAAAAAAGAACAGGAGGGCCATTTGACAGTCCTCATTCTAGGCCATGCACTCTAGTAACTACTACCGGGAACTAGGAAGTTGTGTTCCTGGAGAGAGCCATTCACACTTTCTGTTATGAATTTATGAGAATCAAGTAAGACTAGAGCACAACACTTAATGTGAACAGTTCAGCAGTATCTCTTTCCAAAGTCTTTCCATCAACCTTCTAGTGGAGATGGTTATGTTGTCTACACTCACGAAATTGCTGAGTTAGAATATTGCTCTGCGGCAGTGCTAAAAAGGCTAACCTTACAGAAGGGAGGCACAACATATTCATCTTTGTGACCCAGGGTTTACATATTGTTTGGCACAGGGTAGATTAATAAGGGTTTTAAAGTAAGTAAAAGGCAAAAAAATCATCCAGTAGAAAAACTTTACATATAAACTTTTCATAGAAATGTATTTAGCTTACAGTAGTCCAAAACAACTACACCAAACCATTGTTACCATCAAATTCTCAGCATTTTATCCCAACCAGTCATTGTGTCTCCAGGCTATCCTAAAGTAGCATAACTCAAATGTCTTGTCCTCAGTCCAAATGGTTTAACTCAGAGACTCAGACTAAAGACCAAAGAAAAAGGAAAACATTAATTCACACTTTCCATTTGTAATTTTCCCCAAATTTGTGACTTGAATGTTCCTTAAAGCATCTGGCATTTGATATATTACACCATATTTCTGAACATATATCTTCTTCACTCATATTTGGGGAGCTTTATGGAAGTGTGCACCCCCTAGTAACACAAGATTTCAATGTATGTATCTCAGTAGGCAATATAAATAGCAATCAAAACTAAAACAGAAGGAAACATAAGCCATCCCCTGATTCAGCACAGAGCTAGTTCCACAGAATGTTTCAGATGCTGCCTTTATTAGTGGAATGTCACAAAATTGTAGCAAAATCAATCACTTTTGACAAATTCAGAGTGTATTCTCCCTAATCAGGAGAATGCTGTACACTGGCAAGATGAGACTTAGAAATAGAGCATAAAATTAGTAGTCGGTGTTTGTTACAGTAATTGCTCTTTATAAAATGCCAACAATCCTAAGAGGTATTATTTGGAATGTGTGAAGACAGATAATTTCATCACCTTGCCCAAATTTACAAAACATGTAAGCAGTAAAGACAAAACTAGACTTCAGATCTATTTTAAAATTCAGTAGTCTTGATGGTTCAAGGCGCACTGCTTTCCTAGATAAAAACAAAACTGAACGAAACAGCAACAGCAAAATAGGGTTTTCCTCTGACTAGCATAGCAAGAGTCTTGGCTAACCTGTCTTTTACCATTACCTAAGCACCCCATCAGTTCCCACACTCAAGGAAGGAAATAAATGTCCAAATATGTAACTATTTCAAGTGTGCCTAATACTGCAAAACTAAGTATGGCTTTTGTGTTTATCACTTTCTGTCAAGAAAGAGTCATATATTTCCTTAGATGTCCTTGGGGTCTGGGGTTCAAGTCTGGTTATAACGGGGATGGTAGGCTCAGACCTTTTCCAGCAGAGACTATTCACAGCCTTTAGAGGCTATGCCTCATTAACCAGTACAGATTCTTAATTTCAGGTTTCAGATGAGTGACAAAGGTCTGTACACGAACCTGAAGGTCAGTGGTCATGTCTATAGTAGGTTCATGGAGAGCCACAGCTGGGCCACCAGGAAGTAGCCTCAGACAGAGGCTTTTTGGTAAAGTTCACATTATAGCTGCTGATTGTGGGTATAGAAAGATGTCTTTGGCTATAGCAGCGAAAGTCTTTCCACTAAGACTTTACCTTGAAATGCTTATTCCAGCCATTGAATTCCCCCGGGCAATGTAACTTGTGTCCAAAACCGAATTATGTTGCCTTGAACCAAGTAAGTCTGTGTGGTCTATGTTTATCACCACTGGCTTGTGTCCTTTCACCCTCCCCTGGGGCTAAGGCACATTTCCTCCTGTGGAATCCTTATCTGCAAGCAGGAATTTTTCAACTCTCACACTAAATAGTCATGTTGGTGATACTTTCCACATGTCACCGTGGTGTCTTGAGTTGAATTCCACCAACCTCATTACAGACCTCCCCATTTATGTGCCTATGCTTAATGCTACATTACAAACCAGGATGTTTTCCCCATACTGTTCACTCAATCTATAAGCATCTCACTGTATATCCATGACTGGGTTGGAACACAATACATTAGCCAGGCCAGCCTCAAATTTGGAGATAAGCCTGCGTCTGCCTCCCAAGTGCTGAGCTGAGGTGAAAGGCTTGCCAAGTCTGGAAGTATGTTTGATGCACGGTTTAACATGCTCAATTTTCTAATATATTTTTGACTTTATCAACTGATAATTATGTGAATAGATTCATAACTAAAATAGGCTCTGTTCTTTCGACATGTTATTCATCTTTAAAACAACATTAAAAGAGGTCCTGTCAAATGCTGTACATAATATTGAATAGTGCATGCCAATTAGTTTTTTTTTATATTTATTTATTATGGATACAATTCTGTTTACATATATGCCTGCAGGCTAGAAGAGGACACCAGACCTCATTACAGATGGTTGTGAGCCACCATGTGGTTGCTGGAAATCGAACTTGGGTTCTTTGGAAGAGCAGGCAATGCTCTTAACCACTGAGCCATCTCTCCAGCCCCCGCCAATTAGTTTTTAAGATAAAAAATTGGAGCACGCTTAGAGTCTCAGTGCGTTTGACATGTGGAAGTACACAGTGTTCTACTCTTCACAAGACAATGCATGAAGGAGTTCAGGGGCAATGGCTTTTCTGACACTTAGCTTATTTGTAACCTCAAGATATTAAGATATGCTCTGGACATTACTTTCAGACCATCTACTTTTTTATTTCCCAACCTCTAGTCATGTGATAGATTCCTTCCTTGCGAGGTTAACTAAGGCCAGGCCTCTTCCCACTCTATCTTTTCTTTTGCTTGTATGAATTTGAGTTATAAGTTCAAAGGGACATGTTAGAAGTGATATATTCTAGTTAACGGCCTTCACATGTGTTTAACTTGGATGACATCTCCTCGAAAATTTCCTTCCTGTCTAATGTGGCTAGATAAGAATATCATTGAAGTATTGGCGCTCGACAACCATTGAAAGAGATTGGAATTTGTCTTTCGCTCTCTTTTAAGGGCATCACGTCCTATGGAAACATCAGTCCTGGTGGCATGTGATGGTCTACAGAAACCATCTACCTAATAAAAGCCCAGTCCAACAGTTCTGTGCATTTCAGGAAGGTGTCAAGCTGGGTAATTTTATAATTTTTGTCCAGATGCGGAGATTATAATTTGAGCAAAATTCAAGAAGTAAATAGTATCAAGATAATACTTCTGAACAAAGTTTAAGAATTAAATATATACCAGATTTTCTTAGACATATTGATCAAAACACACCACCAAGAAAACAGGATGTGACCTGCCATCTAAAAAAGGTACTGAGCCATATGACAAACATAGATAAGAACAATGGGTTAATATAAGCTACAAGAGCTAATAAGTATCCTAAGCTAATAGGCCAATCAGCTTTATAACTTATAGAGATCTTTGTGTGATTTTCTTTGGGGCTTGCCGGCTGTGGGGTACCAGATGGGACAAAAAACCCCAACAAGCCGGCCCTCTTGTTACAGATCAAAATATTCATGATTTGTTTTGTTTCCTAAATTAGGAGATCTTTTTATGTTTCGTTTTCTTGCATGTATGAATGAATGTATAATTTTCTACTAAAATTATTGACTAATATATTTGAAACTCTTGTTTAAAACCAGGCAAATAATTCCGGAGATATTGGGAATATGCTAATGGGCACAGTGATTTAGACTTTATCTCAAAATAGTAAAGTGAGACGGGTATATGTTATTCAGCTTTACAGCTCCTCAGCAAATCCAAATGCTTTCTTAGTTAGCTCTATGAAGTGTGTGTAACATTTTTAATGGGGTATCAAAGGTAAGATAGCAGAGATATTTAAAGATAGAACATAGGGCAGAGAATTGTAAAAAAAAAAGGCCTGGACTCTTGGAAAAAAAACATGTTATAGAAGGCATGTATTATAAACAGATATTTCTTATAAACTTTAAATACTTCTGAATTCTTTTCTTTACTGGGTCTTTTCCCCAGCTACTATTAAATTGTGAAAATATATTTAATAAAACTTGCTTCATGTAAGGTGTAGCTTATTTTAGGAGGAAGAAAATGTTTCCCTATTCCTCTTTTACATGCTTCTCTTTCTCTTGTCTGAGAAGAAAAATATTTATGTCATGTTTTTAAATAGTGAAAACAATAATAACATTTCCCAGGGAAATAAGGAAGTGAAGATGAGGTTTTGTTTAACTTATCTGTGATAAGACCCTTTGGGTCTCTGGCTTTAATGAGTTAAAGCGAGAGATATACATGACACTCCAACCCTTCTATTATGACAGTTTATGCTTCCTATGTAGGTTATTTAACTCCAATGCCTGGGAAATAGACCCAATTACCACCTTCTGGAATGCTACTTAAGTTAAACGTTCCCTGCAGATTAGAAATCTACTATCCAGAATATAACTCGGTTTCTGAAGAATTATTTCTTCTTTAAGCTCCTGAATATTTTTGGGCAATTTAAAGTGTAGACCAAGATTGCTTGAGAGTAACTCTGCTAGGAAAATGAAAGAAAAAAAAAATTCCCACAGTACTGGAGCCTGTTTCTAAGAGTTTGTACGTCCTGTGCCGATGTACATTTTAATCATGCTCTCTTTCAGCTGTTATCAATTTAAAACCAATGAAACTCCCACACTGAGTCCATTTGAGCAGTCAATTTTAATATCTCCAGGCATCTGTAGTTATTCTGAATGGGCTGCAAAAGCAGGGCTAACAAGTTAAGCTCTAACCATAAGTCGGCACAGGCTGGTAAGGCATACATCAAGCACAGACAGCTAGTCAATACTCCAGTGTGAAAAACCAGCTAGCCACTTTAAGAAGAGCAATATATTCATAATATGTTCGGCAGTCTGCTTTGCATTTCTTTCTTGATGGCTACGAGTTCCGCTCTGTCATCAACAGGGTGACTCTCAAGCATCCTAAGAAATACATTTAAGGGAAAGGTGGTTACTTTTGTGATCTGCAAGTAATGTCTTTGAGAATGAGATTGGAGAGTAAGGGAATGTGCCGTTTTGTGAATAAATATCTAGAAAGTGTCTTCAATGGACACTTTTTTTTTTTTTTTTAAGAAAATAGCCATATGTTCTGGATCTCTGAGCACGGACCCTACTTCAAATATTATGTCACTGTCAGGCCATGTGTCTCAATGTTGTGTTTGGAAAACATGGCTGCCAGAAATACCTCGTCCCCTCCCAGGAGTGGCTGCAAGGCGGGATCTGCCTCCTGCAGACAGAAGACGACATTGAAGGAGGAGTATTCCAAGGAGATCAAGGCAGTCACCACTTCCATCAAACCCTTTCTAACTTTGGGCCATGGAGCCCTGGGGGAGGGAGTGCAGGGTGTTTATGACATTTAGCCGCTTTCCCAGAACTCTTTTATGTACTTTTATCTTCAAAAAGAAAGAACATATTAAAGCGACATAACTGAGGAGGAGCAATACTACATAAAGTTTATGTTTTCCGATCTGTTGCCCCAGAAAATGCTTTGATAGAACACACTTGGAGCAACACAGATCATTTCAAAGAATATCTGAGCGATAGACCTCTTCATATTGCAGTTTGGCTGGCACAGAGAGACAGCTAATTGTGATTAGTCAAATTCTGATCAAACATATTCCTTCCTGCCCCAGACAAAAGTAAAACTGCAGGGAAAGAAAGCTTGCCATTGGAACTGCTTTCCTAATGAATGCAGTTTATATGGGGCTGGCTGACGTGTTTCCTTTTTAAGGCTGGTTCACAGCATCTTGCCCAGACTGGCCTTGAGCACCTGGGCTGACATGAGCCTCCCATATCAGCTCCCAGAGGATCAGGGACTCAGAGCAAACACCACTACACCTGTCTTGAGGGTGGTTAATTTTAAATCATTAATCAGGTAGGGCAATAAAACAAAAGGAAGTTACTTTATTTAGAAAAAAATATACTGATGTCATTTCTCTATTTTGTTTTGTAAATTTATGGGGTATTGGCGATTGATTATAGATAGGGCAATTTATTATAGATATGAATTTGGGGGGTGTTTGTAAAGCCAAACTGTCAGTGATGGTAAAAGATACTGAGGACACTCCCTTCATCTTAGGATATGTCAAGATGAAATGTTGACATCAATACTTACTTGTTTGTAGCAGCCTAGCACATCTGCTGAGCATTGTCCCTGATGAGATGCTTGCTGGGAGAGCTCTGGTGTGGGGTGATTTTTAGAGACACACTCAGCCTACGCATAGTATAGAATCTTAAATCTTACTTATATCACGCAGAAGGACAGGGTAGAGCCAGTTTTCAGATATGTGGTCAATCCATCTGTCTGGCTGCATATAAAACATTTCTTTATGTATTTGTTCCTTCTCTAGATCAGGATGAAATTATGCTCCAGTCTCCTGGAATTAGCTACTTCAAAACGAAATGAAATCAGCAACTAATACTTTGTATGGGGAGTAGGATTATAAAAATTAGAGGGGGAAAAACTCAGTATCTAAAACTGGCTTTGGAGTTGATCACAGGTTCACAGAGGCCACAGGAAGGGGGCTCTGAACATTGACTAAGGGCACATGTCTTTTCAGAGAGCAAAGATTTAGGATATGATGAGAGACATCAAATATTCATTAACTTCTTGTTTATAGCGCAGAAGAAGTCTTACACCTAAAAGAAATAATATATCAGTCTGACTTTTGGTTATCTGCAGCTAGTCAAGAACATGATTTGAGCCAGGTGGTGGTGGCACATGCCTTTAATCCCAGCACTTGCGAGGCAGAGGCAGGCAGATCTCTGTGAGTTTGATGCCAGCCTGGTCTACAAGAGTGAGTTCCAGTACAGGCACCAAAGCTACAGAATAAATCTCTCTCAAAAAACCAAATCAAACCAAAACAATCGAACAAAAAAAAAAAAAGAACATGCTTTGGAGAGTGTTATCCAATGAGTTGTACAAAGATGGCTTGTTTTAATTATAAACATGTATACACAGACATATACACATACACGTTTTGAGTTAGTGTACAGTGTGTATGCTTAAAACATGGTATACATTCACAGGATGAAGCCAAGCACAACATAACTTACAACTGCTTCCCTTTTTTTGGTCCTCATCTTCAACTTATTTTATTTTTAAATTTTATTTATTTTTATTTTATGTGTATGGGTGTTGTGCTTACATGTATGTCTGTGCATCACAGGGGTGCAGTTCCGTCAGAGACCACAAGGTGGTCAGATTACCTAGAACAGCAGTTACAGGTGGATGTAAGACCTCAAGTGGGTGCTTGAGATTAAACTTAAAGTCTCCCATAAGAATAACCAGTGATCTTAACCACTGAGTCATCTCTTTAGCCTCTCTACTCTCATTTCACAGAAACCTGATAGTCTTCCAGATGTAAGATTCAAATACACTATTCTAATTGGTACTAGAAGTCTATTAACCATAAAGAGTATGTGTCAAAATTCCAGATACAGGATGAGTGTGTTCTGTCTGAGCATGGGACTTGGAAATCATTAACTACAAAGCAAATGCCACTTTTCTCTAACATTTTCAATCCATTTTTGGTCAAGCCCATTTATGTAGGGCAAGCTCATGGATCTGGAGGGAAGATTATACATACATACATCTTATATTCTCCAAAAATATTACATTCTGACTAATATCTGTAAGAAAAGTCTCCCCCCATGAGAAAATAAATCCTTGAACCACAAGCAAACCAATTTGTTAAACTGGCTCATCATTTTTCTCTTCCCTAACTAGGAATTTCCCTTTCTGGATCTCATTTTCTTTCATTGTCCCAAAGTTGATATGTTTTTAATATCCCATAAGACCTGATAATTTCCTCCCAGGCTAACAGGCTGTTAAAAGACGTAGGCTACCCAGGTGCATGGTTTCCACCATTTCTCCATTTCTCATGGTGACCCAAATTTTATTACTGAACAAAAGCTAGCTATGTGGTACTCTGTTAACCATACATTTACTCCTAAGAGCCTTTAAATAACAGGAACTGCCCAGGATCTATTAATGCAAAGGAACCAGGAAGCTTGTAGGCCAAGATAAAGAAGCTTAAGGTTGGCTATTAATTTTGGCTAATATTAAATCATGACAAAGCTCACATGTAAGGATCACAGTTCAATTGTGAGCCATAAAGAAATTTGAAGAAAAGAAGATTTGTACGATTTTTTTAAGCACATTAGTATATATTGGAGAAGCTGTGAGAGTGTCTCATGCCCAAGTAATGCCAGGCCCACGCCCTAGTGTATAAATGCAAACACAATTATTCTCAGCCTCACCGAGAGAGGTGGCAAAGTTGAGCATGACTCTACTACAAACTACCTTGCCGTGATGCTCAGATAGAGGTTTCATTCTGGAATTCACAGTGGGCTAATAAGATTATTCTGTCATCTTTAAGTTCTACCAAATTATTCAAAAATACTTTTCTTTAACTCAGTTATTTTAGTATTCATAAACAACTGGGGAACTTGTATTTGTGGTAGGAATGGTGACTATGATTTTTTCTTTTTTTTTTTTTACAAAAGTACTGTGACTTTTCAAAGACATTTTCTTCTTTGACAGAAATTTTAAACAATTAGTTGTGCTTCTGTACGGGGTAATTACTAAAATGCCCCTGCGGTTAGCTGACGTGATCAAGTGAATATAGCTGGGAAAAACTAGTTAATGCCAGCTTACAAATGAAGATTCCAAACTGACAAATAAAAGATTCCAAACTAAAGAGAATCAGAAGGATAAGACCAAGTTCTCAGCTCACTTTTTTTTGAAACCAGTGTGTTCAGTGTACTTGCCTTTCTAAGGGATTTGCCAGACATTTGAGCAAAATAATTGATGTGTCAAAAATACAATGAAATAAGTAAACTGAAAGACTCAAATGAAATGAATGATTCCAATAATGAAAGATAGTAGTTTAAAATAAAAAAAATAAGCTTCCAAAGTAACAAAAAATTCTAAGTTATGTCTTAAAGAAAAGGGATACACACATACCTAGTTTTAACTCAGTGAAAAGGAACATACTGAGTGTGAGTGCTGTTTACTGACTATGGCTAAGTGAGTGCCAAGTTTACTCGCATGACGTGGAAGAGAATGAGGTATGCAAAAGGCACAGAGAAAAAGAAAGAAATCCAGATAAAGAATTATTGATACTCTTATAAAGACTGAGGAGTAATATTGAGAATTCTTTCAGGCTAGGAGAAAAATTAATATTGGAAAAGCAATTCATTCTGGTGATCTAACAGTGAGACAAGAACTCAAAAGAGGAACAGGACACACGTGGGAGGAATGTGTCAACACCCAAACAAAAGGAAGATCATTTTAGAGTTGAAAGGAATCAGTATCCTTGGGATTAAGTGCTAAGCCGAATAAATTAGACAACTATTATCAACTATATACATGATCTTGTTTATAAAACTTAAACACAAAGTACCAAACCATTTTAATTTGAGAGAGAGAGAAAAGCAACCCCTACTGTATAAAAGGTGAATTATAAGAATGGAGCATTTAATTCTGTCTTGTAGAAGTAGTGGAATTTTATATCCAACTGAACCACTGGTACAGTATGTGGGCATTTTCTGGGAAATAGTACTTAGTAATAAATTGCTTTTGTACCATGGACAAGGCAATAGGTTTGATCTCTATCAACACACACACACACACACACACACACACACACACGCAACCAAACCAAACAAACAAATACAAAACCTTGCCTTTGTTGGGTTGATGGAAGTTTGAGGACTTCTAAAACAAACACACAATCAAACAAGCCCCCCAAATGGTAGCTATATTGAAAGTGGTTTCTAAATGAGTTAATGATTTTTGTTTCAAAGTAACAAAAGGGACTAGAATAAGAAGGAGTAATCATGAGGTTTCCAGAGAGCAAATACAACCCAGAACACTTAGAGAAAAATCAGAACGTAATAAGTCAACATTTCTAGCTGAGGTTTCCTTATGACTTTAGAAGATAACCAGAGAGAAAAGCAGGGGGTAGAAGAGCAGAACAGAAAGACAGGAGAGAAAGTAGTTGATAGCCCAAAAGCCAAGGTAGAGAGACAGAAAAACAACAACAACATCAAAACCAGAGAGGGAGCTGCACAGAAAAATCACAATAAAAAATTCTGATGGATTTTAACTGGTGAAACAATTTTGGGAAACAAGAATATTACCATTATCCCTTGTGGGACTAATCAGCCCATGGAGTTTATAAAGAACTTTAAGAATAATAAAGCAACACACCACATCCTTAAAGATACAGAATATACTGACAGACTGATCAACATTAAAGATGCAAAAGATATTGGCAAACTAGTCTGCATCCACACAACAATCACACAGAAGCTCGTCTCCTAAAGGCTTGTGAATAAAACCAACATGGCATCCCCTTAAGAGCAAAGTGAGAATGGAGCTAGAAACATTGCTTAATAACACACACTCTGAGTTTCCTCTGTTATCTTTACATCTTTAAATAGATTCATATACAAATGATTAAATATAGAAGCCATATGGTATTAATTTCACTTGGGTTCTATACATAGCAAGAGAATAAAACAATTTTCTAAGACACAGCTCTATTGTTTTTATACCAGGAAGCCTTGGTTGTTCCTAAACAACCAAAGCCCAAACACCAAACAATTGTTACCTTTTTCAAAAGTTGTAAACCCAAATAATTTTTATGTATGAACATCAATGCTATTGTTTGAAAGATTACAACAGAGAAACTTGGATAAAACTAAAGAGCTAGTAAATTCCATAAATGAGTTGCAGTTATGAAGAAATACACCCACACCCCTAAAATGCCCCTATTGGCTCACAATCTATATATAAAGCTGATTCAAACTGTGGGTCCAGAGAGCAGCTCACTGTAATAAACTCATACATCTGAAAAGGGCCCCTTCCTCCCCTAGGCAATGCAAATCCATTTGGACAATTTCAGAGGTTATCTTGTGACTTGCCATTTTTATTATATTTGGTATCGCTGTATTTTTCTCAATAGCTATATTAAAAAAATTATAAAATTCCTCCCCATCAAGTGACTTCCTGGATCTAGATTTTAACCTCTGCAGTCACGTCTTACCAGGGCCCCATGGCTCAAAAGCATAGGTTTTGCCTACAGGACTGTGACTATGTGTACTTTGTGGACAGCACACGGAGTGTCACAGTCTATAAGGTACTGGCTTCTGTCCTCTCAGTGGGGTTCAGTGAGGACTGGCTAAGGCCAGAGCTAAGTCCCCTCTCTACCTTTGAAAACAAGTACATTAGAGAGCAAACACTGGAAAGTATTCAGGGCCTTAGCAAATCAACCCTGGGTCTGGAAGGTCATTTAAAGAAAGTGATGCAAATGCTCCATTTAGAAACAGCACCGATTCGTTTATAGAGAACACTAGCACTCTTTCTAAATACTCGTCCTCTTGAAAGAGGTTTTCTTTCTTTTCTTCTTCTTTTTCTGGTGAAATCAACAGTGTAACTATTCATCATTTATTTTTATGTAACATTTCTTAACTGATTAAAATTTCGATTTTTACTTTCTCCCCTGACTCTGTCTTAACTATGAAAATTGTGCTGAAGTGTTGAATTTGACTAGCCAGATGCTTTTAAAAATTGGTTTAATGCCATTTATCTTGCTGGAAAAAAAATCTCAGTGAAAGCCTTGAGAAAAGTTCATAGATAAAATTGAAACAAGCCAGGAAGTGACTACATTTGCATAACTTGATCTGTATTTGGAAAAAAAGATGCCGCTGAAGACAACAATGGAAGCTTATCAAATCAGAATTACACATAGATTTTCCATAGCTCTGCTAATGAATACTGACTCATCGGTGAGCTATGGGGAAACCTCAATGGAGCCCTAGTTAGGAAAGCAGGCAGACATCAGTCAAAGAGCATTAGCATTGGCTCCGAGACTGCCTTCTCAGGCCATTCTAGAGGGTGCTGGTGAGGCCAGTTTGCTCACCTGATTGGAGCCAGATCCTACCGCTGAACCAAGAAGCTGTTCATTTCACTGCACACACACACACACACACACACACACACACACACACACTCATTTAAGCTTATGGGAAAGTTGGCATGTGTGAGTTGCTAATGAATTGTCTCTATCTCTTCAGTAGACAGATAACTTACACTTGAATCTTTCTCAAGTTGGGCCATCTAAAGGATGAACCCAAAGGTAGAAGTGACTGAAGGTTACCCAATGAGGTTGACTTGGCAGTGTGTCGAATGCCCTCCCTAGGTGTGTGTAACACACAGGGAAGCTGAGGTTCAGGAAAATCACTTCACGTTGTCAACAGAGTTAATTGGTAGATCCAGACACTGAATTCCGATTATTGTCATGCACAGAATTGTCTTTCCAGTCTCACGGCTAGCATAGTTGAGGATTATTTTTCTACCTGAGATCTATTTGCAGGGGGAATCTCCTTATTTTGCTTCAAGCTGAACTGTCGTCCTCTAGGCGTCTCTGGTTTTTTTCCTAGCATTCCCTAAGACTCTGGTTTCAATGACCAGATACCACTATGGAAATCAGGACCCATATGACAGTGAAAAGGGCTACCGACACTAAGTACACTGGAAAAACAGATGTAAGCAGTACAGGCCCATGGGAAAACACACTGTCATTCTCGTGGGGCATCTCCCAGGACAACACTTCTCTGCTCCGGGTACAGAGGCCAGGTCCTTTGAGGCCAACTCTGGCTATTTCTTTTCTCTATAATCTCATACCACCAACTTTATTTACTCAAGGGTCATTTTTCTGGACAACTATATTTTCTTCCATTACAGAGCAAGCCACGAAAACGACGCTGTCCCGTACCTTTAATGAGACCCTTTTCTTGCAAAGTTTTCAGAGAAGGTCTTCGGGAGATGAACTTCTTGAGTCTGCTCTTCACACGGTTCTTATCACTTGTATCAGAAGCGCTGTGATGCAGCCGGAACACTGAGGAGTGAAAACAGAGGCAGGGTTTTGTTTTTTGTTTTTTTTGTTTTTTTTTGGTACATTTTTGATTGTGATTATTACTTTGTATAAAAACAAACGCAAGGCAAGTTACAGAATGACCACGTGGAGGGCTACCAAGACCCTTCTGTCTAGCTAGGGCAGAGGAATAAAATTTGTCTGCACGGAAGCATTGTGCTATTGTATCCAACGTGCAAAGAGAAGAGGGCTAGCTAGCTCATTTCTATTTCCTTTCCCTTATGTTTAACATAGAAACCTTTCTCTAGATAATTCCTTTTCCTTGCATCTAAAAACAAAGTTACAGTCAGAAAAATAAGCCATTGGAGGAGCGCATTAGCTCTGCTAATTTCAAGTAATATTGATTACATACTAGATCTACCTACATAAGGTATTGTTTTGAAAGGTTTACATAAGCAAATGATTTTGTTACTCTTCTTTTTTTATATCAACTCATGGGATTTCTTTTCCTGGGATGCAGCCACTTCTTACTCAAATTTATAAAATTTGCCTCCGAATTTTCCACATTCCTCTAACTCCTCTGCCCTCAGATCTTGGTTCTATTTTCAGGCAAGCGTGTGTCACACTCAGTCCTGAACCAAAGTCTGCTGATCATCACACTCGATACTGAGTTAGGGGAATTCAATGACAAAAGTAACAAATATAATAGACTCTGGGCTTTCGGAGAGCCTATGGTCCAGCCATATTCATGGGCTGTTATTATTAATTACTGATGACAATTTGATATGTCTGTGAGATAAGATATATTCTATTTCTGTCTCTACTATCTTAACCCAATTATAGACAAAAATGTGTAGTCTGTTTTTAAAATCTGCCTTGTTCAGACAGTAAAAAAAAAAAAATCTGTAATCAGACATGAAGAGTATGTCTGTATCCTCCTTCCTCCTTCCTCCAGCTTGGACCCCAGGCAGGACAAACTTCAGTTGGCAAGGCTAGAAGTCAAGATGAAGCACCCAGCAGAAGCAGGTGGACATCCTGCCTACCTGGTAGCTGTGGAAAATGATGGCATTTTATTTTTAAATTAAGTTTCAAAAATTGGTTGGGATCTGAGACGATGTGCTATATAGAATGAGAACAATACTTATCATAGAAAAGGACAATAATACATAATTTTACCTGAAAATAATGGCTTTTAGCTATCAGTGTTTTAGGCCAGATGACTTGTAGCTATAGGGGAGTTTTTACGTAATCTCCGCAAGTTGCCAGCAGCACCTCCTCGTTAGACGTGACAATCAAAACCACATCTAAACATAGCCAATGTACCTTGGAGGGAGGCACGATTGTCCCTGCTTAAGAATTATTGCCTAAACAAATTGGGGCATTAATATGGAACAATTAAACCCTCCTTTCTGGGTGGTAGAAGCTTCATCAGCACACCGTGAAAACAGCTTACATTCTGGCCTAGGCACTGCAAAGGACCTCAGTGGTATATGAATAGGAATAGTCAATACTTAGTTAATACTACAGAAATGGAGAGAATGATGGAGTTTTGCCACAATATTAACTACTATAAATAATTAAATATATATATTTATTATACTATACTGTAATCAACAGTTCCAGGTCTGCATTCCTGTGTGAGGCTAAAGAACACTTAGTGTCCTTCAAAGACACATGTCTTGGAGAGATTTTATTCGATTTCACAGAACTGGTAATTGTATGGAACAACTAATTTAAGTTTTTGCAAGTTGCCAGAGATTCTGTTTTCCACTGTTTTTCTCGCCTCAAACCCCTGCAATTCCCATGCCAGGGTGCCAAAAACCATAGGACCAGGCAGTGTAGGTTTTGTCTGCCATTACAGAGCTCATAAACATTTGTGACTAAAAAGTACTTTGCAAATCAACACACACACACACACACACACACACACCTCTACAAATGTTCCATTATGAAAATAATTATGTAGTGAGTTATATCTTTCTGGAACCCCCTAGGTATTCCAGAGATAGTATTCTTAATTAGAGAGATATATATGTACATTATATTGTTTTCAATCTCACCATCTGGCTCCACATGTGAGAAATGTCTGCAAGGTGTATTGGATTGTAAGGGAAATGTTTTAAGTTCTTCCCTTCTCACCCAGCCTTACAGCATCATGGGTAGGGTTACACAGTTTTGAACAGAGGCGGACTCTCCATAGGTGCTTCTAATGATGGCCTCCCTGAGTGTCATCTTCCATTTCCCAGAGCCGTAAATAATCATCCTTAGCCGAGTCAGATTGCAAGGCCTTTGCCATCAATGCTTCGTTCCTTTCGTTCTAAGGGGAGTTATGAAGACGTTAAAGTCAGTGGAAGCCTGTAATATATGGCCTACTTTTTATTAACCAAATAACTAGAAAGAAAGTGCTATAAATACAAAATAAAAATGTAAGAGACGCCTGGCTATGAAGACAGGTCCATCCCGGGGCCCTGCAAACGGCAGTAAAAGCCTTTGAATATTGTGGTTTACAAATCTGATGTTAACAGCCAAACTTATAAAACAGTTTATGCTTTTCTGTTGTCAAGGGAGAAGAACTTGCCAAATTGTTCATTTTAAGTAAATACAACATAAGCAATTAAGAAAAGCAAAGTTTAAACACATGCTTGTGATAATCAGGACAGCTCGCTTCTGATCTCTCTCCTGATCCCACAGAACAGTGTTCCTTTCATTTTCCCACAGCACCCAGTGACCCCACACATACTTTTAGAAACTTGTAATCACACAGTGCAAATAAAAGGACACTTTACTGGAAAATACACAGTGTGGTACAATAATCCATCATTTATGAAAAATAGAATTCAGCCTTTTCTTTTTCCTCAGAGATTTAACTACTTTTTGAGGGTGAAACTTCCTGCAGCTTGAAGATTTATGTTAAGCCAATGAGCAGTTTTTTTTTCCATTCCCATTTAAACATTTTATTTGAAAATGAAAAGGGCTGTAAGAGATACGGTTTGAATTCTAAAGCAGTTAATCTGATTTACAGAGGAGAACAGGAATGTCCCTTAATTCTATGTATTGTCACCTCCATGGAAGTTAGCTTGGTGGTGCACACTTTCCGGGGTTTCTGGAAATAACGCACATATTTCCTTTATATTTTCCTCTTAGTTTTCCACTGATTGTAAAAATTTCTTTGAAGCTCAATAGCATATTTTTTTTCAAAGACCAAGAATCTTTTTTTTTTTTTTTACAGTATGCAATTTAAGTCTGAGCATGTAGAGGCAAACAGCACTACCTTTAAACAGGATTCTTAACCAGTTGAGAGATTTAATTGGTGCTAAGGCGGAGAGGTGCTAGGATCCTGCACTTGGGAAGGTATTAGGATGGCGAGCTTTCTCGGATGCTCTTGCGTTAATAGCATTATGTGTGGCAGTAAGCATTAACTCAACATAAGCCTTTTACCCAGGCCATTCTTTGGGGAGTTCCCTGGTACCTCTTGTGCATTTTTTTCCCACAGTAATGGAGGGAAGGGCCACACAGTGTGGCTGATGGTCATCTACTACCATTCTATTAAGGGTATGGGAACCACAAAAGAAAACCCCAAATCTTCCAGAATCTAACAGTTTGGATAATATAATCCAGGATCGTGTATCTGCCAGAACTTTGCTTGCTTGGGACTTATTTTGAAATATTTCCTTTTCCTGCCAAACTGCTGTTCTCGCAGTATTCCCATGTCACAATTACATGTTTTCATTGTTATTTTTTTATATTTGGAAATTCTAGGAGAGCTAAGGCTTCAGAAATGTCACTAAAAGAGAGCCGGGTTGCTACTCCTCAGAAACATAGCACCGGGCAGCTTTCAGGGCTACTTCTTTTCATTTTACGAAAGGCATTTTTGCGTGAATCAACCTCAGGTGAGGCTAGAGAGTCCTGTTAACAGCCAGGAGTTGCCAGCATTTTACCTTCCATTCAAGAGGACATCAGGGCAAAGCTGGCAGGAATGGTCAGTGCAATCAGTTTAGCACCCCATGGTGTCCGCAGCGAGAGATCCAGAAAGAAATGTCAAAATAAGGTCAAACCAGACTCTTCATCCTCAGAGGTTCTGAGGTACTTCTCAAACCATCCCAAGGACTGTCCCGACAAGCATGCTGTTGTTTCAACTCAGGTTTTCCAACACAACTTTCTTGTATTTGGGGGGTCATTCTGTATTGATACCTTCTTACCAGTACCTTACCCAAAATTGATGGAAAAGAAAAAGGACGTTCATTATGTTTCGTTTCAGCCTTTGTATGTTTTTTCTCAGGCCATACACACTTGGGCTAATGATGGGCTTGGACTAGACAGACTTTCCAGCATGACCCTTCCAGCAGGCGGGTCTAGAGCATGCAGGTTTTAAATGTTACTCCCTACACTAGAGGGCCAGAAGGGGAAGGTTTTAGGCTTAATACACTGTGGGTCATTTACTATCTCCTTCTTTTCCATATGTTCAATGTAAATAGAAGCCATAATTTCAACTCTTAATATATAGTTTGAGAAACTAAGTTATTGAAACTTTTAGTGACTCACTCAAAGTACAAATCATGATTAAGTCTGGAAATAATTAGCAGAGTTAATGCAGGGAATTTTAGCAGCAGCGCTTTGTTTTAACTGCTTCGTTCCCACTTCGACATTGTAAAAATACGAAACAGACGATTTGATTCATAGTGGAAGGGTTTGCATACATCATATGTTCAGCGGTCCATATTTATGCTCTGTACCCTTTTATGGAGAAGTGAGAATTCATATAGCGAAATTGTTTACTCTCCAAATAAATTTTCTAGCTAAATAGTCAAGTCTGAACCCATTTTTATAATCTCAGTGTTATTAAAAAAGATGGGGACTACTATAATTCATCCCTATGTAAATTCCATGGCTACTTTTCCCAGTAATATGTGTATACATGTCTTCCTCCTCTAATGAGTTCACCGTCGGCGAATTACTCATGGTTGCAATATGCAGCCTTTCTTTCAGGACAGATTTATCAAGTTTCTTTTTATTATCGAGAGTTC